GGAAAGGGCGGCTTGGCCTCTCTACTGCCTGGAGTGGCCTGGCATCAGAGCAGGGCTGTTTCCCAAGGCCACTGCCCTGGGCAGGGCAAGTTGTAAGTAAACACAGGCCGGGGAAAGGCTACCCCTGCACGGCGTTGCTTCATGGACCAAGAAGCCCCTCTCCCATGTCCTTCCTCCTGGGGCTGGGCTGCTTCCTTTAGTGTCTCAGGAGGAAAGCCAGAAAGGGCCAAAAGGGTTTTCTTGGTTTTGAAAGTTCACAGCTATCAGCGGCCTGAGGGATATTAACCGCCAACCTGACTGCATTTTCTAGCCCAAAGCTGGCTTGGGATAACCGAAGAACACAGGCTTCCTGACCCTACGTCTGCCTTTGCTGTGTGTCCTGAGGTGAATTACTTCACCTCTCTGAGCCTGGGCTCTCCATCAGTACCAAGAAGGCAATCTTCCAAATTTGTCAGGGCTGAGGAAGTATAAATTTTTTTTTTTTTTTTTGGAGAGGTTTTTGCTATAGGGCACGTGCGCTCGCCAGGAAGACAAAGAGAGACAGAGAGACAGAAAGCGAGAAATCACCCCCTGGGGGGATGGCCATGCCACAATCTTTTCTCCATTCTCTTCTCGGGATCTTGGGCATGCACGCACATGCTCCTGGCGTGAGTTTAAGCCACCAGGTCCGGGACTCGAACCGCGGTCGACTACATGTGAGTCCAGCGACATAGCCATTACGCTACCTGCTGGTCCCAGGAAGTATAAACTCTTGAGCTCTCTGTTGGACTGCCTGGGGCCTGAGGTTGGGAGAATGGTGGCATACACTCCTGCTGGGGTGGGGACAGGCCAGACACATGCAGCTGGAGCAAGCCTGCGGGGGTGGAGGTGGGGGGAGAGCAGCAGGTGCCCCGCTTTCAGCCCAGCGCACCTTTGCTCCAGTTGTCTGTTCTCCCAGTTCTCGGCCCGCTTCATCCTGGCTCCCCTGTACCTGGGTAGAGGGTTCCTGCCCACTGCAGTTCCCAGGCAGGCCCTGAGCCCTGCTGGCAGGGATGAAAAGGAGGACCGTACTCTGGAGGCTGGCCCAGTGTGGGAGGCCGGGCCCTGCAGACACCCTGACCTCCTTGTCACTCAGAAGAGGTCCCTTTATGTAACCAGAGAGAACAATGAGGCTGTTTCATGGCAGAGGGGGGCATTGAAGCAGCTGTGCTCGCACACTCCAGTCCAGCCCCTCCCTGGTGCAGGGCCGTTTTCACAGGAGGTTGTCACAGGGGGTGTTTGGGGAAGAAGTACCTGAAGCCAGCTGACTGGTTTCTCACATCTGACCTCGGACTGAGCTTTCAGACAAAGATGAACTCCCATCGGGAGGAAGTCACTGTCATTTAGAAGTTGAGACATCCATGTATTCAAAGGGGCTCTTTTTTTTTGAGAGAGAGAGAAAGAGAGATTTTTGCTATAGGGCATGTGCTCTCGCCAGACAGAGAGAGACAGAGAGACAGAAAGCAATAAATCACCCCCCGGGGGGATGGCCACACTGCTATCCCCTCTCCTCTCAGGATCTTGGGCATGCACACACACGTGCCTGGCATGAGTTTAAGCCACTGGGTTCGGGACTCGAACCGTGGTTAACTACATGGGAGTCCAGCGACATAGCCATTATGCTAACTGCTGGTCCCCTTTTTTTTTTTTTGTCTGAGCGATTTTTTTCTCTAACGGCACGTGCACTTGCCTAAGAGACAGAGAGACAACGAGAAATCACCTCCCGGGGTGGCCACACCACAATCCCTTCTCCAATCTCCTCTTGGGATTTAGGACACACACACATCCATGCCCAGTGTGAATTTTAAGCTGCCGGGTCTGGGACTTGAACCACTGTCAACTATGTGGGAGTCCGGTGACGTAACCATTATGCCATCTGCTGGTCCCCAAAGGGGCTCTTAATGTTACCAAATTTAGGAGTCCTCTTTGGTCCTGGGGCGGGGATCAGGACACTGCTGGCATCGTTTTGCACCTGTGGTGTGCCCGCAGTCACTCGGGCTCTTACCCGCAGTTTGTGAACTTCCCCATGCTTGTGAGGTCAGTGAGGTTACCCCCCGTTCCACAGACTAGGAGATGGGCCCAGAGGTGAGGGCCTGCCTGGCTGCTCCCGTCACCCCGTCAGGTCCCTTCCCTCCTGCCAACCTGGGCCAGGTGTAACGGGGTGGTGCAGGTTTGGGGAGGAGAGGGAGCCCTGGGAGATGGAGGTAAACCTGACAGGCCTCTCCGAGTGCCCAGAGTTTGCCAGGGTGTGGGCGCTGAGGAGAAGGGTGGCCTGGGGCACGCTGGGCCTGGGCCGAGGCCTTGGGGTCGGTGCCAGCTCTGACTGTGGCCCTCTTCTTTTTGCCCCACTCCTTGGCTGTTCTAAGCTGGGTTTGGCATACGGGCTTCCCTGGGTCCAAGGGAGTCCTGGGAAGCACCCAGAGCCAGCTCTGACCCCCACACTTCCACCCAGCCTCTCAGGAGGGCCTGAGGGGACAACGCCGGTTGCATTCCCTCTCTCTGCCCTGGGTGGTAAAGCAGTGGGAGCCACAGCATGTGAGGGGTGTCCCCACCCTGCCCCCCAGTCAGTGCTTCCCCTGTGTCGTGTACCTCACCACAGCCCTTACGCAGTGGACCCTCTTATTCTGCCTTTACCCTTGGGGAAACCGAGGCTCAGAGGTGACGTGCCTTGCTTAGCATCACACAGCTGCTGAATAGCGGAGCTAGGGTTTGAACTGCTTACTGTCCAGCACCAGGTCGCATGCCCTTTCCCCAGCTGTGCTCAGCCTAGTGCAGTCCCGAGTCTGCCTTTACCTCTCCTGTGGCTTTAGGTGAACCATTTTGTTTTGCCAAGCCTCTGTGTACCCTTCTGTAAACAGGATGGCATTGTTAATGAATCACGTGGGCCTCGTTAATGCCTGTCTTCCTGGCAGACAGTAATCTCCCAGAGGGCCTGAGCCGTCCTTCCCTGTCCCTGTGTCCCCGGCAGCTGGCACAATGCATTTCCCTCCCATTGCATGCACCTGTCTCGCTCCCTCTTTTCAACAACACTGTGAGGTTGGCGCGTGTACCCCAGAGCCCATTTTATGGGTGAGAAAACAGGTTCAGAACTGAAGCTATCTGCCAAGGTAGAGGTTCATGGGTGTCCCGACCTGCAGGACAGTCAAACAGGTTTCCTGAGGGAAGGAGTGAGAGACGGGACGAACAGCACGGAGACGGAGACGACACAGTGTTACAACTTCAGGATCGTCCGTTTATTATGGGCCAAAGATCGTGGTTATATACAAGTTGGTGGGCCATGATTGGTTGCCTTATATGATAATGAAGGATTGTAGGTTGATCAATCATAAGGTGCCGAATATGCAAATCTGAGGGATTCTAGGCTCACCAATTGGTGAGCACCATGGGTTTGTAGCCAATCAGAGTTTTTTTTGTTTTATTCAGGGGGGATGGTCACGCCACAATCCCTTCTCCTCCATTCTCCTCTCGGGACCTTGGGCACGCACGCACATGTGCTCAGCGTGAGTTTTAAGCCACTGGGTCCGGGACACGAACCGCGGTTGACTACGTGGGAGTCCAGCGACATAGCCATTACGCTAACTGCTGGTTGCCGCCAATCAGAGTTTTGAAGGGGAGCCAATTGTGGCTTTTGGCGTTGTATGATTGTTTACTTGCTGAGAAATCGAAACCTAAAGGTTTCCTTAAAATGACGATAGTATAAGACTCATAAAATGGCCTCGGCAGACTCGCTGATGTGGTTTCCCACACATGGGAAGCTTAGCAAGCGGTGGTGCAGGTAAGATTTTAGACATCCGAACTCGACATGGGTGTCAGGGGCAGGGGTGCAGCTGTCCTAGGTCGTGAGTATTGGATGTAGGTGCCCGTCTCCACCTGCTCCCTCAACCCTGTGCCTCCTCTAACCTGTGTCCTCTGTCCCTCTGCAGGACTGGAGTCGGGCCACATCCGGGGCTCGGTCAACATGCCGTTCATGCACTTCCTGACGGAGGATGGCTTTGAGAAGAGCCCAGAAGAGCTCCGCGCCATGTTCCAGGCCAAGAAGGTCGACCTCTCGCAGCCCCTTATTGCCACATGTCGCAAAGGGGTCACCGCCTGCCACATTGCCCTGGCCGCCTATCTCTGCGGCAAGCCCGACGTGGCCGTCTACGATGGCTCCTGGTGTGAGTGGTTCCGCCGGGCGCCCCCGGAGACCCGTGTGTCCCAGGGGAAGGACAGGAAGGCCTGAGCCGTGCCTCTTTGCTCCCTGGAACTCCGGCCCGTCTAGTGACGGGCGCCATCTGCAGCTGGTTCCTCCTCTAGGCAAAGGAGATTGGCGGGTTTGTAGAATTGCCGTGCACAGGTGCCCTCTCCCCAGCAACACTGGAATAAACGTTGCCGGTCTGAGTAGCCGTCTGCTGCCTCTCCCTTGTCCCGTCCCTGCCCCACAGGTTCGTCTTCTCCAGGCTCCTTGGAATCCACCAAGGAAACAAGCCTTCATGGCAGCTGGCAGCTGGGGAAGCACGCGAGTCCACGTCAACAGGAACACCGGAGGCTGGGTAATTCATAGCAGAATTATTCAGCTCGCGTTTGGACATCCGTGTCCAGGGCCAGCTTCCAGAGAGCCTGCAGCTGGAGGGCAGGACTGCGAGCGAGCGGCTGGTCGTAAACCTTCTGGTCTCCTTTCCCCTCTCACAGGCCCGTCAGAACTCAGTCATGGGCCCCACCCTGATGACCTCATCACGCCCGAAGGCCCCGCCCTGGGACGCCATGAAGGCATTAGGTTTTCACTTGAGACCCTTACAGTTCATGCAAGTCCCAACTCTGAATGTTGAGGGGACATCTAAACTGGAATGGGAAGCCATGCTATGGGTGCCACTTCATCATTCAGTCTTGACAGAGGAAACCATGACTGTCCAGGTCAGGAGGACTCCACCCCAGAGCATGCTGGGACCTACCTGAAAGAGGTAGAAAGAGGTACCAGGAAGCCAGAGGGCTGAAGCCAGGGCTAGCCAATATCACCCCTCTGGCTGCAGGCCCAGCTCCCCTGGTGGGGACACGGGCAGGGTAGAGGCAGGTGGCTTTACCAGTGAGTGTCCGGAAATGCCACCAGGCCCCAGGGGCTCCTCAAAGAGATGGTACTCAGAAATGAGCCGAAGGATGGAATGGTGGCTTCCTCATTGGGCACTCTTCCTGAGCAGGCTTGGAATGGGACCTCTGGGGAGCAGCGGAGGAGGAGCTGGGGAAGCGGGGTGGGCCCTGGGAGAAGTCCAAGGGCCTGGCAAGAGGAACCAGGAGCTACAGGAGGAAGTTCCTGGTGGACTGGATGGTTGTGGCTGAATTTTGAGTTTCCCAGAACAGACTCTTCCCCAAACCCTCCTCTGGGACTGCAAGATGAATTCTAGGCCCCCTTTCTGGGAATTCCCGGCTCCCAGCCATCTGCCTTCCTGGGCTAGGACAGGGTCCTGGAGGGCCAGGGACTAGGTCTTTGGTGAGGTTCCCCAGCCCCCGGCCAGCCTCGGGGCAAACAGGTGCTCAATGTACGCTGGGGAGACCAGCTTGAGGGTGGTGGGACTGGAGGCTGAGCCCGAGGCCTGTGGGGTCCCCCTATGGAGTCCTTGGTGGAAGGACTAGGAAAGTCCTTCACGCCAGCTGGAGGTCTCTTGCTGGAGCCTCAGTACGTGAAGGATACCTCAGAGAATAACCACTAGTCCACCTCCTCCTCTTCCCACCCTCGGGCCAAGAGCACTTCCTGTGAGGCAGACACCCGCTGGCCCTTCCGCCGCACACGCAGTCACAGCCTCTGGGCAGAAAGAAGCAGCATGCGTGTGTGTCAGACGGTGGCAAAGGATGGAGGGTGTTGGGAGAGAAGTGCGGGGAGGGGGTAGGGAACACGGGGTGGGCTGGCAGGTGTTGTGGAAAAGGGTGTCCGGGAGAATGAGTGGGGTTCTGCAGGAGGAGGGTTGTGTAGCTATCTGGGAAATAAAGTTGCCTTTACTTCAGAAAACATGAAGGTTGGGGCGGGCAGGTGGCATGGTGACTGCACTGGACTCCCACTTGGCTGACTGTGGTTCCAGTCCCAGACCGGGTGTCTTGCTTTCTCACTTTTCCTCTCTCTCTGTCTCTCTGGTCAAATATTAATAATAATAATAATGAGAAGAAGGAGGAGGAGGAGGAGGAAGAAGAGGAAGAGAAATAATTAAATGAAAAATGAAAACAAAAAAGTGAAGGGGATTGGATGATAGCATAGCAGTAACATGATGCCCTCCAAGTCTGACCCACATGGGAAGGTTCTGGGTTCACACCCAGAGACCTCCCTGAGTTATGTCAGTCCACGTGTGCCCACCGTCCAGGGCTGACGCTGGGAGGGTCATGACATTGGGACACTGTTAGGAGTGCCTGCGTCTGTCTGTCTGTCTCTCTCAATCATGGAAGAAATACAGAAACAAACTAAAAGAAAATAGTGGAAGCCAGTAAGGCGGGGGCCAAGGGAGTGATCAAGAAAGCAGAAGAGCTCAGGTAGGAGAAGGTGGTGGGGCCAGCAGGTAGGGCCTTGCGGGCGGGTGGAAGGACTTTAGCTCTCACTCTGGCTGAGGAAGCTACTGGAAGGGTTGGTTAGGAAGGTGATGTTTGACCTAGAGGAACCTCTGGCCAAATTCTTTAGCTGAACTTTTCTCATATATCAAATATGATATAGCCCACCTCTAAGGATAAGGGTAGGGGTTGGATGAAATCCCTCCTCTTAGCAGGCCCCCTTGGCTGTTGAGGTGAGAAGATCATAAGGGGATGGGGGTGATAGACTCCAGGGTGGACCCCCACACCTGCCTCCTGATGCCTATGCCTTGAGTGTGACTGGGTCCTGCAACTATAGTTTATGGCATAGGGTGGAGCACTCATTGGAGGGAGACAGAGACACACAGAGAGAGAGAGAGAGAAGGAAAGAGAAATTACCCTCCAGGAGGGCTGGCCAAACTACAGTGCCTTCTCCTCCACTCTTCTCCTGGGATTTTGGGCATGCCTGGTGTGTTTTCCAAACCACTGGGTCCGAGACTCAAACCATGCAGTCAGCTATGTGGGATCCAGTGCCTTCACCACACCACCTGCTGGCCTGCAACTTGCTTTTATTTTTCAAAGAGAGATTTTGCTATAGGGCACATGCACTTGCCAGAGAGACAGAGAGCAGAAAGCGAGAAATAACCCACTCAGGAGATATGGCCACATTGCAATCTCTTCTCTGGTCTCCTCCCAGGATCTTGGGCACACATGCACATGCTCCCAGCATGAGTTTCAAGCTTCCGGATCTGTCAAACCACAGCTGGCTATGTGAGAGTCCCGTGATGTAACTGCTATGCCCTCTGCTGATCCTAGGCAATTTGCTTTTAACAAAATATGGCAAAGGTGATGGGATGCCACTTGTGGCTACAATGCATAAGCTTTAATGCCTATCTTGCAAGAAGACTCTTTTCTCTGCTGTTTTGATGAAGTGGTATGTTGGCAGGGCCCCCAGGGCAAGGAGATGGCCTCTGGCCAGGGACCAGCCAGACACTGAGTCTAATAGACTGTAGGGAACTAGATCCTGCCAGTAACCACAGGAGCTGAGAAGCAGATCCTTCCCCAGCCGAGCCTCAGATGAGACTGCAGCCCCAGCCAATGCTGTAATTGCAGCCTTCTGAGCCCAAAAGCAGAGAACCCAGCTAAGCCACTCCCAAACCCCTAACCCACAGAAACTATAAGATAATGTGTGCTTAGTTGCTGTTTGTGGTCAAATGGTCAAGTGGCAGTAAATAATTAGTATAGAAGACAAGAACAAACACAGGGAGACCGGTGTGGAGGCAGCTGTGTTAGGCTGGGCAAGCTATGGGGGTGGTTTGGACCAGGGGCCAGGCGCAGGTGTACACCTCGTGTATCTTGAAGGACTGTCAGATCGCTTGTGGAGGTGGAGCTGAGATCTCTCTCCCTCTGTGCCAGGCAGTGCATTAGCCACTTCAGGAACATGATTTCATTCAACCCCTACCCTTCCCCTGAGAGGTGGGTTAAGTCATATTTCATATATGAGGAAAGTTCAGCTAAAGAATTTGGCCAGAGTGGCTCATCTAAGGGACCGGCACAGACTCTGGGGACCCCAGGTTTTACCACAGTGATCTTTAGCCCCTGGGAAGACCCTGAAAACTGGGCATGCAGGAGGCATACCCTGTACCCACCCGCTATCCTCATGCATGACTGGCAGCCAGATAGGCCTGAACCTGTGCTGGTGCCAAGAGCTTCCTCTTCCTCTTCTTCTTCCTCTTCCTCTTCTGCAGAAAAGAAATCTCGTAGCCTCGGTAGCCTTTGTAGTTCAAAAGGAGGAGAGTGGGCCCTCGCTGGCCCTCTGCTTTGATTTTACCTCCTGGCGGGTGCCCAGCTCAGACAGCTCCGGAAGCAGCTTTCCCGCCCTCTCCCCTTGACCTACACTTGCTCTTAAACACATCCATGCCCTTAATATTCTAGTCCCTTCCAAACTGTTACGCTTGTATGGATCCTTAAGATCCAGCTCACATGGCCCTTCTGTGGGCCCTGCCTCCTTGACCCTAGACCGTCACTCTGCTTACTCCTTTGTACTCTCTTAACTTCCTTTGCTCTTGGTGGCATCTGAGCCCTCTGTGGCTGGCAAGGCCTGGAACATGGTGGGTGCTCAGTGGACCCAGTGCATGAGTGGATGGGAATGAACAAGACGTGCGGGCCCCCTGTGCCTCTGTCCCGACTTTCTCCTGGCCTCCCTTCCTGGCATTCAGGGTGGAGTAGGGGGACTATCAGCCCTCTGAGGTAACAGAGCCTGTGTATAGTGATCGCCATGGCAACTCCAGTGACCCGCTGGGGGAGGGCTGCTCCCTAGCAACCATCCAGTGGTCGTCACCAGTAGTCGCGTGACACGGATCTGCAGTCCCAGGCTTTAGCACACACCAGAGTGGTTCGCGTGATTGCTGGCGTTATGAGTGATTGGACAGGTGAGGCAGAGACTTTGAGGCAGTCCCGGGCTCTTCAGGGACATGGGACTTACCTGTTCTTATCGCTCTCCTCCTTCAGAGTTGTGGTGAGTGAAGAGTTACCCAGACTGCACCGGGACCTGCCCCCAACTGGCATCTTGTGGGACCTTCCTCTTCAGGTCAGAGGCCAGGAGTGAGTCCTCACTCCTCTCGGGCCAGTCCAGGCTGCTCTGGGGCCAGCAGGGAGCCCTGTGGGCACATCGGTGGGTGGCTGGGGATGGGAGCAGAAAGACCACCTAAAGCCGTGAACTTGAACTTCAGTTAACTTAAAGATGTGCAGCTTGGTTTCAGCCCAATGGGGTCAAGTCCTGTTTCCTTTCAGCCTCCATCTCTCCATCTGTGAAAGGGGTGTAGACAGTTTTGGAACGTCTCACTGGTAGACTAGTGTAAGAATGTTTCAGACATGACTTACCTCTGGCTGCTTAACAAATCACCCCAAAACGTCGCAGTTTAAGATGACAACATCTAAAGGGCGGGTGTCCAGGAGACAGACCCAGTACTGGGGGTGACAGATGGCTAAGGTGGGGAACCTCGAGGGTCTGGGCCGCAGCACAGTATGGGGGACCTCTGGTCAGGGGCTGGACAGATGCTGCAGGCCTCTGGTGCTCTCACGCACCCTGATTCCCAGATGTCATTGTGCGTGTCATCTGAGACACATCGCTTTGTCTGCAGGACTAAGCTGTTCCAGGGCAAGAGCAATGGAGCTGAGCCGCCAAGCAGGTAGGTCAGGCAGACCAGGGGGGTGCTGCCGTGCACCTAGGTCTTCTGGAGGAACCCTGGGGGAGCAGGCTCCAGTCCTCCCCACTCTCCTCCAGCCTCACTCTGGCCTCCAGTCCCACCACAGGCCTGACTTCCCTGGAGGCACGCTGCTGGAGCCAGGAGGAGCCAGGAGGGGAGGGAATGGCTGGCACTCCCGTCCTGCCATGCCTGGGGCTGGTGCTCTGTGTGAAGAGGGAGCTGGCAGCCTCAAGAGCACAGGAGGGCAGGGCTGTGGGGCAGCACAGACAGCGGCCTGGCTGCTGCTCCAGGCAGGGCTACATGCAGGTCAGAGCCAACCTGGGGTGGTGCTGCCCAAGGATGAGAGGAGAGAGTTCCAGCCACAAGGAACCGTGTGAGGCCTGGAAGGAAGAGGACTGGGGCTTTGGTGGAGCCCTGAGGACAGGGAAGGGACTTCAATGCGGGAGTGACCAGGTCAGATCAGCTCTGGGAAGGGTCCTCAGGGGCAATTGGAGGGTGGCCGGGCTGGCAGGCAGAATGGGACTGGCAGTCCTGTGGGGTTGGGGCAGGGCAGCACTCCCACTGAATGCTTTTCCCAATGGCCTGAGTGGCCTAAAGGCCTGGGTACACACTCACATTCCTGGCCTTCCCACGGAGACCCTGGGACGGCCCAGGAATCTATATTTTTGGTGAGTGCCTGGGTAATTTTAGTAAGTGGCTGTTTAGAAGCCTGCTGACTGATCCTCATGATGGCGAGAGAAGCAGGATTCGCTCCGCCTGTTTTACCACTCAGGATGGTGCAGGAAAGGTGGAGCTGCATGAGGGCCCTGGAAGGCCAGGGGCAGCCCCTCACTCGTCCATTCATGCATGTATGTGTCCACTTACTCGCTCAACCGTCAGCTCTGGGAGGCCTGGGAGTGGCCCGTGAAGTCCACTGTTGTCTGACACACACCCAGCTGGGCTCACCCTGGAGAGGAGGTGCTGGACATACTGCTGTCTGAAGCAGGGCGTCGCAGACACATCCGGGCCGTTAAAATGCTTATGATGAAGGGCAGGTAGGAGGTGACAGGCAGTGCAGCAGCATGGGCTGGCCGGGAGGGCCTATGGCGGTGCTTGGCGGTCCAGACCTGAGACCCTGCGATCCCAGGAGGGCCCCATCGCTGTGCTGGACCTCAGTCTCCTCTCAGGAGAGGGGGCGGGGGCGAGGTTGGTCAGGTGGGTGCGGAGCGTCCTTCCCACTCTGCCTCCAC